AAAGAACAAAACAAGACAGGTGAAGGATTGGAAACAATATTTCAGGCAAATGAATCAGAAGAAAGGAGGAGTTGCAATCTTATTTTCATATATAAGGTAATTTAAAGCAACTAAAGTTAAGAAAGATAAAGATGGTCACTTCATATTGGTCAAGGGAACAATTTAACAAGAGGACAATTTCAATTCTAAATATTTATGAATCCAACTTCAATGCTCCCAGATTTATAAAATAGACAATTGGTAGGAGGAGTATGAAATTCTATAACACCATAATACTGGGGACTTTAACACTCTTCTGGCAGGAATGGACAGATCCTCTAAACAGAAACTGAACAATGATACAAGGGACCTAGAAAAGACATGACCCTAGAAAAAATGGGTTTATTAGATATATGCAGAACACATCATCCCAAAGCTAAGGAATTAGTTCTTCTCATCAGCCCATGGAATATACTCCAAAGTAGACCATATCTTAGGACACAAAGCTAACCTCAACAAAATTAAAAGAACTGAAATTATACCAAGTATTTTCTCAGACTACAAGGCAATAAAGTTGGAATTCAACTCCAACAAAACTTTCATACCACACAAAAGAATGGCAATTAAAGGGTGGTGCCTGTGGCTCAAAGGGGTAGGGTGCCAGCCCCATATGCCAAAGGTGGTGGGTTCAAACCCAGCCCTGGACAAAAACTGGAAAAAAAAAAAAAAGAATGGCAATTAAATTACTTTAGGTTGAATGACAGTTGAGTCAAAGAAGAGATAATGGAAGAAATTATTCAAAAATAGTCTTAAGAGGGAAATTTTGCATGTATATCTACATCCAAAAAACAGAAAGAGAGCACATCAACAAATTAATCAATTATCTGAAGTAAATGGAAAAGGAATACCAATACAATCCCCAACCTACCAGAAAAAAATAAATAACCAAAATGAAATCAGAAATAAATGAATTTGAAAACAAAATAATCATTCAGAAATTAATAAAACAAAAAGTTGGATTAAATAGATAAACCTTTGGCCAGATGAATTAAATAAATAAACCTTTTGACCAATACCACAATACCACAGAAATACAAGAAATTATCCCTGGCTACCACAAGGAAAACGTGACAATATGGAGGAAATGGACCAATATCTGAAATCACACCATCTCCCTAGACTTAACCAGGATGAAATAAACCTCTTAAACAGAACAATATCAAGCACTGAGATCAAAGAAACAATAAAAATCTTCCAATAACAGAAGCCCTGGACAAGAGGGCTTCACAGCAGAATTCCTTTACACCTTCAAAGATGAGCTTATACCTATGCTGCAGAACCTATTCCAAAACCATTGCAAAGGAATAAACCTCCCCTAACAAGTTTTATGAAGCAAACATCACCCTGATACCTAAACCAGGAAATGATCCAACTGAAAAAGAGAACTTCAGGCTAATTTCACTAATGAAATAGTGAAAAATACAAATACAAAATACTCAACAAAATTTTAACAAATAGACTACAGCTACACATTAAAAAAATTATTTATCACGATTAAATAGCCTTCATCCAAAGGATGTGGTTGGTTTAACATACACAAATCTATAAATGTAATTCAACATATCAACAGAAGCAAGAACAAAGACCATATGATCCTCTCAATAGATGCAGAAAAAGCGTTTGTTAAAGTCAGCATCCTTTTTTAACAAGAACACTTTTAAAAATAGGCATAGGTGGCACATTTCTTAAACTGATTAAAGCAATCTACGACAAACCCACAGCTACTATCATACTGAATGTGGTAAAACTGAAAGTTTTTCCACTTAAAACTGGAAACAGACAAGGATGTCCTCTGTTGCCAGTACTTTTCAACATAGTTCTGGAAGTTCTAGGCAATGTGATCAGGCAAGAAAAGGATATAAAGGGCATCCAAATGGGGACAGAGGAGGTCAAACACTCACTCTTTGCTGATGATAAGATCTTATATAGAGAGAACCCCAGAGATTTAACCACAAGACTCCTGGAAGTGATCAAGAAATACAGTAATGTCTCCAGGTATAAAAATCAATGTCCAGGTGTAAAACTGTCTACACGCCAATAACAACCAAGTCAAGAAGCTAATCAAAGACACAGTTGCCTTCACAGTAGTTTGAAAGAAAATGAAATACCTAGCAATACACCTAACAAAAGAGACAAAGGACTTCTACAAAAAGAATTATGAAATCTTATGAAAACAAATAGCAGAAGACATCAACAAATGGAAGAACATACCACGCTCTTGGCTGGGAAGAATAAACATTGTTAAACTGTCTATTCTACCTGAAGCAATTTACAGATGCAGAAGAACTATACAAAAATAGTTCTTCATTTAGTATGGAATGAGAAAAACCTGGTATAGCCAGGCAATTCTTAGTAATAAAAACAAAGGCAGAGGCATCACTCTATTAGACTTTATATTACAAGATCTTAGTAAGCAAAATAGCATGGGATTGGCACAAAAATAGAGACATAAACACATGAAACTGAATAGAAAACAAAAAATATGAATCTAGTCTCTTATGACCATCTGATCTTTGATAAACCAAACAAAAACATACACTGGGCAAAAGAATCCCTATTCATAAAAGGTGCTGGGAAAACTGGAAACCACATTTAAAAGACTGAAACTGGACCTGCACCTTTCACCACTTACAAAAATTGATTCAAGATGGATAAAAGATTTAAATCTAAGCCATGAAACAGTAAAAATCCCAGAAGAAAGTGTAGGGAAAACTCTGGAGGACGTCAGCCTGGGGAAAAGATTTTATGAAGAAGACTTCAGTGGCAATTACAACAACAATAAAAATAAACAAATAGGATTTAATTAAACTGAAAAGTGTCTGTACAGCTAAGAACACAATTAAAGCAAATAAACAACCTTCAGAATGGGAAAATATATTTGCATGTTACGAATCTGACCATGGTTTGAAAACTAGAATATATAGAGAACTCAAAGTAATCAACAAAAACAAAGCAAACAATCCCATCTATTACTGGGCAAGAGACATGAACAGAACCTTCTATGAGAAAGACACCCAAATGGCTAACAAACATGAAAAAATGCTCATCATCCTTAATCATCAGAGAAATGCAAACCACCCTGAGATAAAGCTACCCTCAGTGAGAATAACCCACATCACAAAGTTTCGAAGTTGTAGATGCTGGCATGGATGTGGAAAGAAGGGAACAATTTTACTCTGCTGGGACTGCAAACTAATATACCCTTTTTGGAAAGAAGTATGAAGAATCCTCAAAGAACTCAAACTAGACTTCCCATTTGATCCCACAGCAGTCCCATCACTAGGCATCCATCCAGAAGGAAAAAAATAATCATTTTATCATAAGGACATTTGCACTAGATTGTTTATTGCACCTCAATTTACAATTGCCAACATGTAGAAACAAACCAACTCATTTCAATTTAAGTTGAGGGAAGTGTGAATGAGGTAGGGGGCAAGGTACACGGGGTAGGGACTGCTGTGCTCCCATTTGATGGACACAATTAAAAGAGGGACTCTACCTAACATATGCAAATATTCTAACCTAGTCGTTTGTACCCTTACGTTAACGTGAAATTTAAAAAGAGCTTAAAATCACAAAATAGCTACTGCATTTAATCTTATTTTTAATTGACAAATAATTGATAACTATATATTTATTAGAAACAAAGTGATATTCTGATACATGTATACCTTGAGGAATGATCAAATCTGAGTAATTAGCATACCCATCCCTTCAAGTATGTATCATTTCTTTGGGTGGTAACATCCCATAGGAACTTAGCAAATGTATTCTCTTATACGTTTGGACTGGCCTTCACATTACTGGTTTCCAGTTGAAAGAAGCAGAGGATATGAAGGGAGAAAGGAAGGAGAAAAGGAAGGAGAGGAAAGAAAATAAAAATATGTGAGAGAACTCAGAAGTATTCTTCTAGAGCTTACGGAACATACTCTGACAGGTTTCATAGGAACCAACAGCAAAATTATAATGAGCCAAAGCCTCAATAAGGTACCTAAAACATCTGTAATTTGGTTTGAAATGCATCATTTTACGGAAAACGGGGAGAGCTTCAGCAGTTGCCCGGTGTTCGTGATGGATGCTGATGAGCAATTCCCTTAAACAACTGATTTACTGCCAGCAAACAAAAACTCGGGAAGCACATCCAAAAACTCATCTGCAATTAAAATTACAAGCAAGTGGTCATTCTATGCACCTCCCTTAGCAGAGAGGTGACCCTGCTCCTGGCAACCACCTCCACACAAGGGCCACGGAAGAACAAGGCCTTCCTCTAACTCCCATTCCTTGGCCAAAGAAATCTCTGTAAAACCTGTCATGCTCTGTCTCCCAGTCTCCTAACGGGGATAGAGATGGAGCTCTTCTTTCACCCTCTCTCCCTTTTTTCTTTCTTTCCTTCTTCCCCGACTTTGTAAATGTAAATACATTGCTTTTCTTCAAAACATTCTCAGATCGCCCCACTCCAGTAGAAATCTGTCACAGGCAAGACGAAGTCAGGCACAGGCGCCCGCCGGGGGCCGGTGCCTTCGCCTTTGCCAGCACCATCTGGCACCTGGGATTCGCAGCCACTTTCCATCCACTCAGGGGTCAGAGGAGTGACTGGCAAAGGACACGCCAAGCTGGCACGTCCCAGTTCTTCTGAAACTTTCGGTTGACCGCACCCTTCCCCCATAAACTCTTTAATCATCCATTAAGCTAGAAGAGTACAGTGACCTCTGCCTGGCCTTTGGAGTTGCAAAAGAAGCGAATCAAGAAATGCAAGAGGAGGTTTCGCCCCTTTGTTTCCTCCACCACTCCGCAGCGGCGGGCGCAGAGTGGCGTTGCGGCCGGAAGGGGCCGCTGTTTGCTCAGAGCAGCAGCCGCGCCGTGCGCCTCCCACGGCCCGGCTGGCCCAGCCCCGCCAAGTTCCAACAGCCCCCAGTCGTGCGAGAGCCGGGAACCAGCACTGCCCGGGCAGGAGCGGACGGCGCAGGAGAGGCAGGCTGTGGCGCGCGGCGGAAAGGCTCCTGGGAAACTCCCACGGCCCAGGGACTTTCGAAAGGAGACAGCTAGAGTCTCCGCGCGCGCAAGTGTGCAAGTAAGCGCTCAGCTCGGCACCTGTTTCTCTCCAGCCACTGCCTTTCCTCCACTCGGAATCGCGCCTCCCCGGACACCAGCCCTCTCCCGCGATGAATCCGGCGCTGGGCAACCAGACCGACGTGGCGGGCTTGTTCCTGGCCAACAGCAGCGAGGCACTGGAGCGCGCAGTACGATGCTGCACCCAGGCGTCCGTTGTGACCGACGACGGCTTCGCCGAGGGCAGCCCGGACGAGCGCAGCTTGTACATCATGCGCGTGGTGCAGATCGCGGTCATGTGCGTGCTCTCGCTCACCGTGGTCTTCGGCATCTTCTTCCTCGGCTGCAATCTTCTCATCAAGTCCGAGGGCATGATCAACTTCCTGGTGAAGGACCGGAGACCGTCTAAGGAGGTGGAGGCGGTGGTCGTGGGGCCCTACTGACCGGTCCTCCGGCTCCCGCGGCAGCCGCCCCCGTGTCTCCCCACTTTGCCAGCCCGGCTGCGCCCCTCACCATCAGAGACTGGGCGAAGCAGACCTGTCGGAGTCTAATATTTCTCTTGACTTCTACCTTTCGGGATGAAGCGACCCGTTTCTCTCGGCCTCCGAAAGTTCCCATGCCTGAAGGAGGAAAGCTTCTGACTTCGGGACTTAGCAGCAGGTGGCTAGAAGAGGGTGTCAAGGGTGCAGAACTTTGGAAGCTGCCGCTTGCTTGGGACGTGGGAGACAGGCGGGGCGAAGGCCGTTCCCTACCCGCAGGTGGGCCTAGCGCTGGGGGCAGTTGGAGAGGGTAGGCAGGGGAGAGACCCAGAGGCACCGATCATCTGGTGGCCGGAAAATGACTTGTTTATACACCGCGCGGCAGACCCCCGGGGACGCACAAAAATCCGCGTCCGGATGTGCACCCGCTCTCTCTCCTGCTCGCTCCAGCCCTGGCGGGAAGAGGCGATAAATACCTTTGATTGATTGTAACGTGTTTTAAGGGATTTTGTTTGCTTGTATACAAATATTTGATAAGTCCTTTTCTGCCCCAGTGGCCTGTTTGCCTGCCCGAGGGGTAGAGTTTTGTCTTGGGAGCGGGGGTGGGGGGAGGGGGAAGCCTGCGAATGTGAACGGGGTGACTGTTTCCTTTAGTGCATTTTCAACTGGGTCTTTTTTTTTCCGTGGGGGAAAGCGGTCCAGCTGACCCCGGACAAAGACCCAGAATAGAACTTATAGCTCGTGACTGCACGGTTTACGCCACTAAAGTGCTCTTGACATCCGTGACACAGTTTTGACTCTTTTTTTCTTATTTAACATTTCCTTAATAAATGCAACATTAAGTGTTTTGTTCCTGGCCTCCTGGTGGTCATTCAGCGCTCCCGACAGGGGGGAACTGGCGGCAGTGAGGAGCCGGGGCAGGAGAATTCGCCTTAAAGAGCTGCAATTCAACTTGTGGATCCTTTGGAGGGGCCGCGACGGAAAGGCCGAGGGACCAGAGAGACGTAGCCAAAGGAGACGCAGGAGCTGTTCTGGAGGCAGCATCCTTCGTTTTCTCGTGTAGTGAATATTTTATATTTCATTTAGTCTCAGCTCTCAGGTAGGTGAGACGACAGGAGGGCCCCGCGGGGAGGTTACACTTCGGTGCCAGGCGCCGGCGGGAACAGAGGATCACACGACTAATGAAAGGGAGAGAAGGCTTGACCAGCCTGTAGGGAGGGCGTCTCTGCCTGGCCAACGGCAGCAAGAGGGGATGGGATGCGGTTCGAGGGAAAAAAATTATAAAATTGGAGGAAAAGTAGCTGCTAAAGTACACGGTGATGCTAATACTGTCTGGGTATACTACTGTTACTAAAACGGAATATTTACCACTGTCTTTGCTGTAGTACTTTTTCTCAGCAAAAGGGAGTGATTAAAAGAGACTCAGGCTGCTCTTTATAAATGAGAGTAGTCGGGCTGCCACGGGTTCAGAGGCGTTAGCCGAGGTCCTGAATGTCAGAGATGAGTATTAAAGATCAGAACCGAGAAAGATGGGCTGGAGTACAGCTGGAGATCCATGGCCGTTGGCATATCCAGGGTTCAGAAATTGACAGTGTGGGAAAGAAAAGCCTAGAAAAAACGTGTCTGTGAAAATAGAACACAGAATACTCTACCTTCAAGCTTAAACTTGGCAAAAGGTTTTGAGCAGTTTATGTTTATGCCTGGGGTAGAATATTTTCAAAACTGTAAAGGATCCACTAAGATGCTATAGCAATTCAAATTTCAGAGACTCCAGGATAGCAGCGGTAAGACTGACTAAAATCAAATAACAATAACATGTCCCGTTTCCTGGGGGAGAAGCAGCGACTATCAGTGACTCCAAGGTTAGGATCCAAGGTTTGCCTGCCCTTTAACATCCTGTCCACTACTAGGTGTCCATTTCACTCTCAGAGTAAACTTTGCCGGGAATTACAACCTCACGTAGTTTTTTGAATAGGTTTGGGGAAAAACAGCACTTTGAAGTTTGGCTGGTTCCTGTCTTTTCAACAGGTAAGGGTTCGGTTATTGTTAATCTGGGGAAGGGGCAAGGTCAACAGGACAGTGTGAGTCACGGAAGACAGTTTACTTTTGCTAACGGGCAGGACGGGAAACGGAGGTGTCTTATTTTGTAGGGCTGTCCTATTTTATAGACGTTTCTGTGGCACTGATTTCATCTGCTCCCTCTGTTTGAAAGGCGAAACAAAGCAGAGCAATGGGTTCACTCTGGGACAAACCAGACGTTCAAAATTTAACTTAGGTTTTTGTGGCTACAACATACACTGAGGGTCCACTCTCTTAAAGATTTATTAGCCCAGCAGAGAATTCGGTGCTCTGGTGAAAATGTATTTGGGATTAAAAAAACAAATCAGCTGGAGTTTGTAGGAAACTCGCCTTGTACACTGCTACATGAAGGCAAGGTGCATGCTTAGAGCTTTCAGTTTTAGACATACTGGGGTGGTGGGGTGGTGGTTAATCATTTAGATCAATTTCAAATTGTTTGTGTACATCAGAGGTTTTCATTTAAAAGTCCTAAAAGTTGAGAGAGGAGCCTTCCCAGGGTGAGGACCTCGTTTATCTTCTCTATCTTGTCCCTCTTAATATTTCTGCACACCTCTTTTCTTTTCCCTGCATCTCAAAAGCAAAATTTATGGTTTCTCCTTATCTCATATATCCAGATTTATTCTCTTCCCCCTAAAATTTGTGATCATGAGAGTAACCAGAATCTGTAAAATGTAGTTGTTAGGTACAAAAGATAAGTGGACGCAGCTCTGTAATCTGTGATCTATGCAGTATAGGGAAATGCACACAGTCTGAAATGCACATAGCCCTGGGGACTATTTCCTGCCAACAACCCTTCTCTCCAGCTCTTAGATCCATTTGTTACTTAGATGTCAAGTGGTTCTGGCTTTTATAGAGGAGGCTATGTGTGCAAGAAGCTTTTTACACTCCCTATTCCCTAATGGCCAGAGAGTAACCACTTTCTGAGTCCTACACCACTCCCACTCACTCTGCCTTTGACTCTCTTTATCTCTCATTCTAACAAACCAATAAACAAAATTCTTTACTCTTGGCTAGAAGTTACAGAGTGTCAGTCCTTTCCTGCAGACATGCTATAAGGAAAATGCATCTTGAACATCACTCCTCCTATTTGACCTAAAAAAAAACAAGGTCAGCTTTAGAGACGGGAAATGGAATGGAATAAATGCAAAGAGGCAGTTTCTACCATCCCACACTTAAGTCCACCATTTCATCAGTAATTAATAGGAGGCTGTGAGAGAGAGAGACAGATTCCTGTAAAAGCTTACTGGATCTGGCATGCCCATGGGAGTTATCTGACACTTCCTAAAGCCCCTCTGGAAATACAGAAGATGCAGGGAGAGGATTTTGTGGGGGATAAGTGAGAACTCAGACTGAGCGCACAGCTCCAGATACCTCTTAGCCTAATTGGGTGGCCTCCATGTAAGTAACTTAACCAACTATGGATAATATTATTTCTCTTTAGATTATTGATATGAACCTCCCCATTCTCTCTGAAAATGTAGCAAGAACTCAACTGTTGGCCAACATGAGGGAAGTGGAAGCAGAGATCACACACTAGTCTGTCGAGTCTGAGATCACAGCTCCTGGTCCAGTATTTCTGATTTCCAAGCTACCCTGGCCTGTCACTGAACTTTAGTCAGTTCTCTTACTATATCTACCTGCGCTGCGAGTGAGGAGGGGAAAGGTTCACTGTATTGAGATAGGAGAAATTTTGCTTCTGATTTCCAAGCAGCTGGATTAGGCTCATTCCTAAAATAAGGAAGATGGATTCCAAAAGGACATTCTAATTCTATGATTTCATTGGATTAATTTGTTCAACATTTTCTTGTCTCTTAAGATTTTCATACATCTCTTTATCATGTGTCTTAAAAATATACTTTACCTTTCCAGTCTTGGTGTTTTGCATAGAATTTTTTCTCACAAAAGTCAAGTGTTCCTCAACTCAGGATATATTATTGAAAATAATCAAAGCAAAATTTTGGACATCTAGCCAGGCCTGGGTAGATAGCGGTTAATTTAGGAATGAGCCTAATCCAGCTGCTTGGAAACCAGAAGCAAAATTTCTAATATCTCAATACAGTGTACCTTTCTAACCTGATAGCTTACACACTCTCTAAACAGGGCCTTAAATAGCCCAGATCGCTATGTTCTCCCTGGATAAAGCCATGAAAACAAAGCCCAGTGTACTGGAAAGTTAAGAGATTCTTCTAGGTACACCTTCAGGCTCATACACACTATTGTTTATAGAAACTACACGGGTATTTGAAGGCACATTGACAGCCAGTTTTTCTCACCCAAAGCCTTTTTCCCTCTGAGCTTTCGCAGCAGCACACAGCAGCTGCTTCACATGCAATCTAGAGCCTTCCTTGACCTTGGCTTATTATACTTGTCACTTTGGGGGTTGCAATGACAGGAAAGGATTCCAACGTTCATTCTGTTCTGTAAGACTCAAACCTAGTTTGAAAGACTGTCGAAGCAGCAAGTCTGCAGCAGTCCTCCGAAGAGGAATCAATAAATCTTTTTTTTTCCTTGCAATTCCCTTTTAATCTTTTGCCCATTGGTTCAATTGGCCATTTTTTTAAGGCCGGTTCCGGCGGCGTTATTTTTTCTTGTTTATAGTAAGAATAAACAAGGTTTGTTTTCATTTATTTGACTATGTATCTTTTGAAAGGGTAACGGGTAAGTAGTTTTATTTCTTAAATATATTTCAGGGATTGCTTGCTGAAATATTTTTTAGTGGGCAAATGCAGTCATGGAGTGATCATTGTAAAAAGGTTGAGCCATCTGTGATAATGCTTGAACAAATTCTGCCCTAACACCCATTTTAAAACTAGTTTCCATCAGATGGTGATATTCTATGGACTCGTAATTCAAAGAGTAATATGTTTTCAAGCACTCATAGATACTCATACGTACTTACTACTTATTACCGAGAGAAATGTGATGTTTCTTACCCATTTGAACTATAAAACACAGATCTAGACAAACATATAATACAGAAGGGAAGGTATATGATCTACTCACAAGGGTCAGATAGGAAGGAAATTGTTCCTATTTACAATGATGGAATTCATAGTATTGTAAATACACATATATAATTGTGCAGTAGCTTACATGTTGCCATAGTTTATTACAGGGGGAAAAGATTTAAGTTTTTCTTTTTTTTTTTTTG